CTGGACATGTCCAAACCACCGTCCCTCCTCTGGACATGTCCAAACCATCTCAGTGTGTCCTCTCTAACTTTATCTCCCAGTTGTTCAACCTGTGCTGTACCTCTGATGATCTCATTCCTGATCTTCTCCATCCTTGTCTCTCCTAAGGAGAACCTCAACATCTTCATTTCTGCCACTTCCAGTTCTGTCTCCTGTCTTTTTGTCCATGTCTCTGTCTCCAGACCATACAACATAGCTGGTCTCACCACTGTCTTGTAAACTTTTCCTTTGACCTTTGCTGAAACTTTTCTCCATCGCTCTATCCTGCCTGGACTCTCTTCTTCACCTCTTCACCACACTCCCACAGGCTGGGTTTATCATCCATCCATCCATCCATCCATCCATCCATCCATCCATCCATCCATCCATCCATCCATCCATCCATCCATCCATCCATCCATCCATCCATCCATCTTTGCTTCCGACCACTATCATTTTAAGCCCTATAGGAACCTAAAAGTTTGGAGCTGTTTATTTGTCTGTCAAACTTTGATTTTGTGCTACAACTATTATTACCTGTAAGAAAATAGTAAATATTGTTTAAAAACAAGAACTGGGAGACTCTTGAACTTGTTCTTCTCTGGATTCTGATGTGGTGGTTAGGTGGATGTTCTCTCCAGCTGGTGAGTATTCCAGGGTTGTTCTGTTCGGCAGTGTGGATGAAGAGAGGGTTATGAAAAGAGAAATACAGAATCGTAGGCGTGAAGATTTGAACCTCAGTCTGTAAAGTGGAGTTGGAGGTTTTGTCTCGTTCTTGTCTGATGGAGGACTCTCCCTGCTCTCACTGGGTCTTTGGCAGATTTTTATTTCGTGATTTGTCGAATGTTTCCAGTTGGTGCGAGGTCCGGACTGCTGCGGGCCGTGTTGTTGTTGTAGTGGATGCAGAGCCCTTCCCTGAAAAAGACCTCATCTGAGTGGAAGCATTTGTTTTCTAAATCAATAAAATCTGTATTGATTAATCAACAGACACACATAATTCTTGATTGATCATTCATTAACTTTTAAGATCTTTCTTGATGTCCATCTTACCAGACATGGGTCTTTGGGTCCTGACCTCAACACTGTTTGTGACCACCTAACTGGACAACCTGTATACTTTTCTGCATTGTTAGTGCCTTGCCAGCTGTGTATGCTTCCATGTAAGAGGCACTAATGCACCCCCATACCATCAAAGAGGCAGGATATCCCAGAGATCGCAGACATTCAGTCATTTCCTTCAGACTTGTCAGAGTTTCTTACACAGGGTCCCAGTTACCTCCAACGATACAGTGTAACATAAAAACACAGTAATAACATCAAAGATATGAACTAAGAAAAACATCAACTAAAAATACGCTAAGCACTCATAAAAATAGTATAAACAATACGTAGAACAGCAGCACGAACATGAGTCTGTGTGAGCAGAAGAGCACGAATTAACAGAGCAACATGAAACAGATCAGCAGCAACATGAAACAGATCAGCAGCAACATGAAACTGATCAGCAGCAACATGAAACTGATCA